GGAAAATGGGCGTATGGTATTGACCATGTTGGGCAGAAAAAATGAAGATCGCTTCAGCCAAGGGTGTTCCTATGAGTGGGAACTTTTGGCTACGACGCTCAAGCTTCTGATTGCACAGGTAAGTGTGTGTTTTTTTTTATTAAACAAAAATTAAGAAAAAAGATACTTTAATAATATTAATGGGCACCATTGATCCAGGGTAAGTGGTTGAGAATTTTGAGATTTCAGATTTAAAATTTAATAGTAATAAAAAAAATATTGGGTGATTCTTTCTATTTGTTCTAACTTTGGTGGACGGGGTTATATCATATTTGTTGATGGTAGGAGTTGACAGATATCACATATAGTTAATCGAGGTGCACGAGTAGAAGGTGACATGTATTTCATAAAATTAATCGAGATCAATAAAATTAGTCCGGACACCACAATCATCTTTATGAAGCTAGTTACTTGGTATATGTTTGGCAAGCATCCCATAGAGTTAATAGAGGTGCACGATTAGTAGGTGACTTTTATTCCCTGAAATTGATTGAAGTTTGGTTCGAACACCATAGTTATCTTGGTTGACCAAGTTACTTGGTAAAATGTTAGTCAAAGTTCTTATAGTTTAACTCTAAAAATAGAAACTATGACAAACAATAGTGAACGGAGGGAGTATTTGTTGTTGGTGAGAGGTGGTTGGCATCCCTTTGAGTTAATCAAGGTGCACAGATAGGAGGTGACATGTATCTCATTAAATTAATCAAGGTGCACGAAATTTGACTTGGAAACCACAATTATCTTGGTGGACCAAATTATTTGGTATTTATGAGAGGTGGTATAAGTATTTTATAGAATTGGTTGAAGTGCACAAAAGTTAACCTAGATACCACAGTCATAAAAAAAAAGAATTATCATTGAAATTATATTATCTCTAATTATTAATAACTTCCAATTTTTAAAATCATTTTTTATCAGTTAAGATATTTTTTGTCCTAGTATAATAGCTTGTAAAAAACACACTTCTTTATTAGGTGATTTGATAATATAAATTGCTTGTGAACTAATAGTATAATATTATTTTACACTGTAGTATACATATAAGTTAATGTTCATAAATAAAATAATTAATATATACAGGAATCAATAGATGAAGAAAAAGTGGATTCATTCAATATTCCTTTATACAATCCATCTCCATCAGAAGTGATGTATATAGTTGAAAAGGAGAGATCTTTCACCATTGATATCTTGAAAACTTCAGAAATTCAAAGGAATTCTTGTGATGACGAGAAATACAATATGGCAAAAAGCTTTAGATCTGTGGCTGAACCTTTACTTGTTAGCTATTTTGGTCATGATGAATTGAATATGGATCAAGTTTTCCACAAGTATAACCAAGTAATTGCCAACGATCGCAAGGCGATGGAAAAAATTATGTTCGTAAATGTCACTGTTTCGTTGACCAAAATAAACTAGCTAGGGCATGCAATTCATGCATCATCACAAACTCTGACCCTAGTTGTATATATCCCGACCCCTTTAATTTGTTATTTTACAATTATTAAATTTTAATCGCTTGCGATATTATAATAATAATCTTATGTCTCACAGAGATTTATGATAATGTAATATTTATTTTCTATTCCTTAAAAACAATTATTTTCAACCAGTAGAGTTTCTATATATCTTCCAAGAAAGGAGAATATAGGGCGTCGTATTGGTCGATTCAGTCCCATTTTGAAATTTATCGATTAGACTTACTTGCTATCAAATTATAGACATGCTAAATCGATAAGCACCATTAAGATATTGGTATGAGTTAAAGTGATTATATGTTGGTGAGAATAATAAATTTTATGTTAGTGAAAATAATAAATTTTAAAAAATAATAATGTGATTATAAATTTTATTTAGATATGAAATAAATGGTTAGTAGATATAAATGTGGAATTGTTTTAACAAAATTAAACTTGTGGATCAATTTTTGTATTAAAATATCTCAAATCATGATATGGAATCATCATGTAATTTCATATCATGCTTTTTGGAGAATATGGAATCACATCTCATGAGATGGAATCAATGTGAAATCACATGTCCAAACGCTAATCCATCTCACAATACCATGTCGTGATATAATATCGCATGGCCAGATGCCTACTTAATTAACCTTTGTTGTCATCAAACAACTAACTAGACACTGAAAACATATCACCCACTTAAATACACAAATAAAATAGAATTACTCCTATTTAGATCATCAAAACACTTTAAAAATAACGTCTTTTTATAGAATATATAAGAATAACGTTAATTAGAGTATATCAGTAATATTAACATTAAAAATGCATGTATTAATATTTCATTAAATATATGTAGATTATTTCTTATGCATTGTTTGATTTGATATATTAAAAATAACATGTATTACATAAAAAATATTTATTCACAAAGATATTCTTTACAATTTTGGTGAAAAAATATAAAAAAAAATAAAATAAAATTTGAAGGGCAATAAGGTCTTTAACTATGCTAATGCATGCATTAAAGCTCCTTGCATTACTAATACATAAAAATCCATGGTATTAGTAATGCACTCCTTAACACATAATAGAGTATATAATTAAAACAAGTATTAGTTACACAAAGCATAAAAAAAATACACCAATTAATACACTCTATCAAACGACAAAAACAATAGAATCAACTAAAAAAAACAAATTTAATTTCTAATCATGGGCACCAATTGACTTTGTTTATTAATTACATGAGTGTAATTCTTTTAAAAAATAATCATTTTTTAAATATACTCTTTAATTATTACCATTTATAATAGCTTTTTAAATTTATTTTCTCCTTTCTTTCATTCTTTCTCTTTTTCTCCGTCTCTTTCTATCTTTCTCTATTTTTTAAACCTTTTTCCTTTCTTTCTGTTGTCCTATTTTTCTTGCTTTCTTTTTTGTTGCTTTTTTTCTATTGCTCTGTTTCCCTTTGTTTTCGAGTATAGTCAATGATTTATATTGTATAAAACTTATATCAATAGTTAATTAGACAAATAATATAATCGTAACAAATGAAGAGGCATAAAAAGTTACAAAATGAATTAAATTTTAATTAAAAATGTATTACAAATATATTAAAGTTGAATTATTAGAAGAGAAGTAATATAGTCGTAACAAATGAAGAGACATGAATTAAACTTCATTAAAAATGTATTACAAACATGTTAAAACTGAATTATTAAAAGATAATTAAATATGAATGAAGAATGTAGAAAACAAAAGAGCATTCTTTGATTGCATGTAAACTGAATAAAACTTGTATCAATAATGAATTAAACAAGTAACCCAATAGTAACAAATCAATCACTTAGTTGCAAAATGAAATAAATTTGTATTTAAAAATGTATTACACAAATATTAAAGTTGAGACAAAAGAGAAAATTAAACATAAATAAAAAAAATGTAACAAATGAAATATCATGATTTATGTGAATTAAACTTATATCAATAATAAATTAAAGAAATATCCAATAATAACAATAAATAAATAAAAACTGCAAAATGAATTAAATTTGCATTAGAATTATATTACATTGTATTAAATTTGAATAAGAAGAGAGAATTAAGAATGAATGAAAACACAACTAAAGACTGACAAGACAGTGATCTTTAAAGTGAATTAAACTTATAGAAATAATGAATTAAACAAGTATCCAATAGTAACAAATAAATCAAAAAACTATGAAATGAATTAAATTTGCATTAAAATTGTATTACATGGTATGAAAGTTGAATTAGAAGAGAGAATTAAGAATTAATGGAAAATGTAACTAACAAAAGACATGACAATGATCTATAAATTGATAAGTTATATCAATGATGAATTAAACAAGCTAAGTATCCAATAGTAGCAAATAAATTAAAAACTTTAAAATGAATTAAATTTGCATTAATATTGTATTATCTAATTCAACTTTAGTACAATTTTAATACTATATTTAATTTATTTCAATCTAATATTTCACCTAAAATCAATTATAAACTTAATTGAACTCTTTTAAAATTGATATATAAACTCCAACCGACATTTTCAATTATTTGTAGAAACTACCTATTCAAACTTATCACAAATTCGTAAAATTCAAATAATAAATTCAAAATTTGAAGCTTTATAACGATCATCAATGGTGAACTCTGCTTCTGTAATTTAAAAAATTTGAAATTTCTGCATAAAAACGTGAATTTAAATAAAATTTTGATATTTTTTTCTCTTTTCATCTTGTCTTTGGATAAAAATAGTGACATGGACAAAAACTGATTGAAAGAATATAGTTATTTAGATGAAAAGTTCAAAGAAGAAGAACAAGAATTAAAAAAACAAACAAGATGAAGATATCAGATAAGAGAAACAAATAGAAGAGTAAAAAAAACAAAAATAGATGAAGGTGCAGAAGAGTAAAAAGAAAGAAAGACAAAGTCGAAGAAGTAGAAGAATTAAAAGAAGAAAAAGCAAAAGGTTGCGAAAGAAGCAGATATTATATAATTTTCTTAATTAAAAAATGTTATATTTAGTTAAAAAAATTATTTTATTATAAATGATAAATATTTCAATAATATAGCATATTTATGTGATTTACCCCTTAGTCATCCCAATTCCAATTGTTTCCACTTCCTTATTCCCTTTACTTCCAAGTTTTCAACTTTAAAATTATGCATTAGGAATATCGAGATCAAATTAATGCAAAGTTAATCAACAAACATATATATATAAAAATAACTTAAGCGACTAATATTGAAATAGGCTAAAAGGCTCAAAAGGCAGCTAACTTATAAGGATAAAGGTTAGGGTAAAACAAATATTTTGTCAAAAATTGGCTTAAGAAAGAAATGCTTAAATCATATCTTATGAATCAAAACTTTATTTCACTTAATTCTATACACACTAGACAAGCTCTACAAAGTGGACCAATATCTAGCACGTCTACTATATATGCATGTTTAAAATGCCTCAATTAAAGAAAAAGAAAGAAGATAAAATTAGCAAGCTCATTCGTATCACGCAATCCATCATAAGAAGATAAAGTAATAGACAACGACCTTTTGGTTGGAAATAAAATGACAAAAATGAATAAGAAATATTTAGGCTAAGGCGTGCTTATATCACTTCTCTAACAGAGATTCAACTCTATGCGGTGACATAACCTACACCGATCCAGTAGTATATCTCTTAACTTATCTCCTTCAAGATATATATAACAACCCATAAACGTGAGGTTGCACCAATTCCGCATGCCGTTTAGGTTCCAAAATTAGAACGTCCTCTCCTACCTGATATCCAAATATGTACAACTCAACCAATTCAGATTTAATTAAGAACACCTTAATTCATTCTAACATATAAATATTTTCTTTTAAATAATAAAATATATTTGAAGACTTAAAATATTTTATTAATCTCAATTAACATTTTTCATTATCTTCTACCCAACACAAAGGAACGTGCACCATTATTTATAAGTGAAGAAGTCTTTCACGTCATCAATATTGGTTAGATATAAGAATGAGTAGTAGCTAGCTAGCTATAGTAACATGATAAATAAATGTGATAGATATTACATAAAGTTAAAGTGTGGTACCAAAATATTTAATAGCCCCCCACCAAACAATCTAATTGAAAATATATTAAGCCAAAAGTGGATACACACACATAAAATAAAAGATGGAGGTCACTAAAGTTCTTCTCATGAATGGAGGAATGGGAGATGCTAGCTATGCCAAAAATTCTCTGCTTCAGGTACTATATGTCACACACGCTATAAGAAAACTTATTTTCCAGCAAATTTTCATACTAATTTTCAGCAACAATATTCTTATAGTAGTAACAATTTTAGTTAAGATTTTGACCTACCACAATTGTTATGAACTCCATTGAGTTATGTAAATAACAATA